CAGGAGGGCTTTGGGCTTACATTTCTGCCACAATTCTGCACGCGAAAGATCATATTTTGAGCGCACAAAAGTGCACACGCGCGATCTGAGTTTGTGACACAGACATCTCCACAGACGCGTGATAAGTACGTCGTTGATAAGTACGTCGCCTCCACAGACACGTGATAGGGGGGGGTCACGTGACAAGAGTGATGCGAGAAGACTGACACAACAAACAAAAAAATTATAATAAAATAAAAAACAAACAAAAAAAGTCAAAAATAGTGAGGGGATATTTGAATGATTTGTTAATAAACTAATGTTTTCTGAGTCAGTGTTGACTATCCATCCTCATTGGACATGGCTTTAGAGAGAAATGCATCTTTACGGATTACATAATGAAAGAGTTTTTGTTGTGAATTATTTCGCTTTAAAGTAGTCATTTAAAGCATTCTATAGATATATTTATCGTGTCGGTGAAGCACTCCTGCTCAAGACCAAGAGGACAGAAAGCGCATCCTGTTTGTTTTCCTTGCTTTACAAAAGCACAAGGTTTTGTTGATATTGTGAGCGCACACAAATACAAGCAGACCCTTTGCAGTTCCGAATGAGGCATACTCTTACCTTTATGAGCAAAAATGACGCGTATTTTTTAGTTTCCACTGTTATTAAAAAAAATGCAAGTGCTGGCGCTGGCGCCTTCGTGTCCTGCAGAGTGCGCTTTAGCTTCCACTCTTCACACAAACGATTGGATATGCACCTAAAAGCGCTCATTTATCTAGGTTAAATGTTTAAATGAATACTGTGAAATGCATGAAGTGTTTTATGTCTGTTTATTTTAGGCAAGTCCTGATGATTTGAAAAGGCTAAATTGATCAAATATAATGCTCAACTCACTGTCTGTCTCTGGCCACTTGGTCGTTCCTTTAAAAAACTAAAACTTGAATTTAACAAACATAAAATGTTCCAAACATATTTCTAAATTAACTTAATAAAGAAACAAAAAGAAATACGCCCACTTTGCCATTAAAAACCAAAACTGAACTATTTTAATAGCTGTGTAATGGGGAAGAGAGAGAGAGAAAAGTCACAGTATCCAGTCGGACTCGGGCCGAGAATTCTCATAAAGCTGTTGGACAAGGGCCGGGCCC